TCAAGATCTGCAAGTGACACATCGGGGGTACAACTCCTGAGAGAAGAGTCTTCCATGGAAACGGGTTGCCAACTAGTGAGTGGGAAGCCCCCTGCTGTGGTGATGGGCAGAACGGGCTCAAATTCAGCCCGAGCTCGAGCAAGTCACTTTACTTCCCAGTCGCCCCCCTCTGTAAAGTGGATGCAAGAAACCGAACTCATAGGGTTGCTGTGGGGGCGGTCAAGGTGGCAATGAGTATGACGGGTCCAACAAGGGGGCAGGGGCAGAGAGCACCTTGGCGCAGCTCTCGCCCCTTCCCAGGGCAGCCCGCCTGGTGTAAGGGTCCGCTCTGAACGGGGACCACTCTGCAGGGCTGTTCTAGCTCCAGAGCACCGCCCCCCCCCAACCCCGGGGCGCTTCCTCAGGAACACTCTGAGCTTGCCTCCTGGGAACCCAACTTGTGTATTTTCACCACACAGAAAATAGTTCGCGGATTTTCTAAAATAAACGACAGGTTATCTAAATTATATACCTCTTCCTTTATATGTCCCGGAGGTTTTGATTCTCACCAGTGTCTTCTATTTGTAGAACTGGCTTGTAAAATTCCTTGCAGTTTCGGTCTATGTTCCGTTAACATTGCAATATTGTGTTGATCTTAAAATAAAAACTGCCAGCTCCTTTACCAGCAAAAATGGATTTACTGGGGGAATAAAAGAGTGCTGTGAACCAAAAAAACCCAAACCAACCAAGAAACCAAACAACCTTCTCCCGAAACTGCAGGAAGTCGAAGAACAAAACAGGAGCACGCTTTTATGGAGAAAAGGAGCAGGGAGGGCTGTTATAAACTAAAAGTCCATTGGAGTAAACTGGGAGTTGGAAGTATACTGACTTCTCATTGGCTGAGCTGTTGGGGGCGGGGTGGGAATAAGGAAAGCCAGTCTTCCCGCCCTCTGGGAGAGTGGAACACATCCCCGTGCAAGGTCAAGTGCATTCAAGGTTATGTCTGTTTCTTCTTGTAGGGTCTGCAGTTGACTCTGCGTGTAGGGCATCAGAGCTCTCCCTTGTGAAATCACCCACGAATGTCTATTTACTTTTTTTTATCCCGTTGTGTCCATTAATGAGAAAACATGCTCAACCTTAGCATCATGATCCAATACAGTGTCAAAGGGCACCTGGCTAGGTCAGTCAGTGGAGGGAGTGACTTTTGAATTCAGGTTCGTGGGTTCGAGCCCCACACGGGGTGCAGAGATTACTGAAAAATAAAAGTCTTTAAACAAAATTTCGATATGTCAAATTCCATTGTTCATGGCGCAATTTGCTTTGCCCTTCTTCAGGATTATGCGGCATCTCCGGCTCAACGAGTTTTAAAAATAGTGTCTACCCACAAAATAGGAGCATTGTTCTCATTTCTTATTCCCATTTTCAACACCTTACAGGGTGATTCCATTTGTTCTGTGCTGGTATTTACTTCATGTAAAAGAATAAAATTCTTTAGGGATTAAAATCATTTTGTAAAGGGCATTACGGAAATGCTGCAGTAACTATCCACTTCAAATCAGAAATTCTCTTTCTGTTCTGAGCAACATCTCCTTTAAGAATAGTCTTGACAGGGGCGCCTGGGTGGCCCAGTGGGTTAAGGCCTCTGCCTTCCGCTCAGGTCATGATCTCAGGGTCCTGGGATCGAGCCCCCCGTCGGGCTCTCTGCTTGGCAGCGAGCCTGCTTCCTCCTCTCTCCCTGTCTGCCTGCCTCTCTGCCTACTTGTGATCTCCGTCTGTCAAATAAATAAATAAATAAATAAATAAATAAAATCTTAAAAAAAAAAAAAAGAATAGCCTTGCCAGGGGCACCTGGGTGGCTCAGTCAATTAAAAGTCTGCCTTCTGCTCAGGTCATGATCCCAGGGTCCTGGGTTGGAGCCCCTCTTCCCAGCTCTCTGCTCAGCAGGGAGTCAGCTTCTCCCTCTCCCTCTGTGCTCACTTGACCTCTCTCACTCTCTCTCAAATAAATAAAATCTTTTTAAAAAAAGAATAGCCTTGACATGTAAAGAGATAAATTTTTCATCAATTTTTTAAACACATTCAAGAAGTTATTTTTTTAAAAGATTTATTTACTTATTTGAGAGAGAGAGAGGGAGAGAGAGAATCTCAAGCAGACTCCACGCTGAGTGCAGAGCCCATGGTGGAACTAATCTCACCACTGTGAGATCATGACCTGAACTGAACCCAAGAGTTGGACTCTTAGTTGACTGCCCCACTTGGGCGTCCCAAGAAGTTAGTGTAAATACAGAGCACTTAACACTGTTTTCTTCTTTCAATTTGCATAATTTTGTTGCTAAACAGATATTGGAAATCATAAGGAAAAATAAAAATTAAATAGGCTTCCCAACATGGATTATTTTATTTGTTTTTTAAAGCTTTATTTTTTTAATTTTTTAATTTTAAAAATATTTTATTTATTTATTTGACAGAGAGAGACACAGTGAGAGAGGGAACACAAGCAGGGGAGTAGCAGAGTGAGAGGGAGAAGCAGGCCACCCGCCAAGCAGAGAACCTGATGTGGGGCTTGATCTGAGGACCCTGGGATCATGACCTGAGCTGAAGGCAGACCCTTAACGACTGAGCCACCCAGGCGCCCCTATTTTTATTTTTTATTATGTTCAATTAATTAACATACAGTACATTAGCTTTTTATTTTTATTTCTTATTATTTTTTAATATTTTTATTTATTTATTTAACAGAGAGAGAGAGATCACAAGTAGGCAGAGAGGCAGGCGGGGGGGTGGGGGGGAAGCAGGCTCCCCACCGACCAGAGAGCCCAATGTGGGGCTCGATCCCAGGACCCTGAGACCATGAGCTGAGCAGAAGGCAGAGGCTTTAATCCACTGAGCCACCCAGGTGCCCCTATTTTTATTTTTAAAAAAAGATTTTAAGTAATCTCTTAAAATAGTTAGATAAAATCTCTTAAGATAGTTAAGTAATCTCAATGCCCACCCAGCATGGGGCTTGAACTCACAACCCTGAGATCAAAAGTCACATGCTTGGGGTGCCTGGATGGCTCAGTCGTTAAACATCTGCCTTCAGCTCAGGTTGTGCTCCCGGGGTCCTGGGATAGAGCTCTGCATTGGGCTCCCTGCTTAGCGGGAAGCCTGCTTCTCCCTCTCCCACACTTCCTGCTTGTATTCCCTCTCTCACTGTCTCTCTGTCAAATAAATAAATAAAATCTTAAAAAAAAAAAGTCACATGCTCTACCAACTGAGCCAGCCGGCGTCCGCATGGCTTACTTCAAAAATCAAGAATTTGGGCAGCTTTTTTTTCAGAATGAAAATGTAATTTCAGCACTTCAACCAAAACTGAGGATTTTCCCAACGTTATTTGTTCGAGAGAGCCACTGGGGAGATTTTGAGAGAGAATTGAAAAATACTGCGCAGCAACAAGTGGCAACAATCCTTTGATCCCACAGTTGTAACAGCATAAGGGGTAAGTCAGAAACCAATTTCCTGACACTTTAGTGTCGGCAGAAGAGCCAACAGGCTGTTTGAGCCGCGTTGAAAGGCAGGACAGCCAACGCCTCCCACAGAATCATTCCAACTGCACTCCGGCTCTGAAAAAATACTGTCTATTACATCTTCCATCAACAGCCATCAACATTTGTATTTGTAGTGTCTCCCATCAAAAGCAGTAAAATTCTGTCAACTTCCAGCACAGCGTGAAAAATAAGACAACAACAGTCCCAACATGGAGTTGCTTATGCTAAGCTCCACGTTCCCTAACCCGGGTGTGCAGTTTCAGCTCGCCCACACGTGGAATCGGAACCGAGCTGTGCGGGAATCGCCCTGATCGGCTCTAGTCAAGTACTCTGCACAACAGACCCCTGAGGGAAGGCGACCTTGCAACAGGCAACCTGTTTTTGGCCTCCTACAACTTACTGCCCTCTTCTGCCCACAGAAGTCTTTCACTTCCGCCGCTCCCTGGAGCGCCTTTCCCTTGGCTCCATTGGTTGTTGCCGGATTCATGAATCACTGACAAGAGCCAACAAGATCTTTAAAAAATTTGCTCGGTGGAGTTTTGTTTTTTAATCTCAGTAAGGGAGTCTCTGTGAACATTTGCTATTGTTTCTGGGGTCTCATCTGGGAGGGATTCTACTTGTACTAGTCTTAGAAACAAGCTTTGATCACAAGAAAAATACTTTCTAAGTCAAGGGAAATGGGTTAGTCCTTCCCAGCTGCCTCCTGGGACCCCTCTTGGAGACGCACTACATACCTGCATTTACAGAAGGAATCCTGTAGTAAAAATTATTTTTTTAATTAATTCATTTAAAAAAAAGATTTTATTTATTTATTTGACAGAGATCACAAGTAGGCAGAGAGGCAGACAGAGGGAGAGGGGGAAGCAGGCTCCCTGATGAGCAGAGAGCCCGAGGCAGGGCTCAATCCCAGGACCCTGGGATCATGACCTGAGCTGAAGACAAAGGCTCTAACCCATTGAGCCACCCAGGTGCCCCTTTATTTTTTAAAAGATTTTATTTATTTATTTATTTGAGAGAGAGAGAGAGAGAGAAGGAGCAGAGGGAGAGGGCAAAACAGAGGCCCTGCTCAGCAGGGACCCCAATGTGGGGTTCGATCCCTAGACTCTGGGACCATGACCTGAGCTGAAGGCAGATGCCCAACTGACTGAGCCACCCAGGTGCCCTGTAGTAAAAATTACTAAACAACAACAACAACAACAACAACAACAATAACAACAACAAAAACAGAGCAAAACAAAAAACCCACCACCAGCCCCTGCACCACAAACATCTGATCAACTCTGGGCCAGAGTTCCACTTGAAGGTAGAGGCGAGGTGTAGAGGACAAAGAATGGGCACCAAAATCTCCCCATAGGCCCTCCCTTCCTCCAACCATGACCACTGCTCAGGCCTCATGCTCCCCGGGGGCGGCTGTGCCTGCCTCCTCCACCGTCGCTCTATCTAGGCTCTCTGCCAAGGCGTCTCCCCTCCCCTTGGCCTCCATCACATCTTTCTCCAGGATGTGGAGCACAGCCCCAAGTTGTCGTCTCACTTGATGGCTTCTCCTTCCACTTGATTGGAGGGTCCACAAGCTCAAGGACCTCAGTGTGTCTTGTTCATCAGGATCCTCCGAGCATCATGATGAGTGTCAAGATATGGCTGCTGAATATGTTTCATAAAAGGATAAACATATGGAGGAGGAAGGTACATGGATGGGAGAATGAGCAGATGGGTGAAAAGGAAGAAAGGTGAGTGGGAGAGTGGATGATGGAAAAGTATAGGAAGGTTGGATGGATGGATGGATGAATGACTGGGTGGATAAATGGATGGATGGATGGATGGATGGATGGAAGATGGATGGAAAGATGGGTGGGTGGGTGGATGGATGGTGGATGGATGGATGGGTAGATGACTGGATAAATGGATGGGTGGATGGGTCATTGGTTGTATAAATGTAAGAATGGATGGCTGGGGGGCGCCTGGGTGGCTCAGTGGGTTAAGCCTCTGCCTTCAGCTCAGGTCATGATCCTGGGGTCCTGGGATCGAGTCCTGCATTGGGCTCTCTGCTTGGTGGGGAGCCTGCTTTCCCTCCGCCCTGCCTACCTCTCTGCCTACTTGTGATCTCTGTCAAATAAATAAATAAAATCTTAAAAAAAAAAAAGATTGGATGGCTGGAAAAATGGACGGATGGAAGGATGGGTGGGTAGATGGATAGATGATGGATTGATGGATAGATGGATGGTTGAGTAAATGGATGGGTAGATGGGTGGGTGGACGGATGGATGGGTAGACGGCTGGATAAATGGATGTGTGGATGGGTAGTTGGTTGGATAAATGTAAGAATGGATGACTGGAAAAATGGGTGGATGGCTGGAAGGATGGGTATCTACATGAAACTTTGGATAGAGGGATGAAAGTTTGAAGGGATAGATAGATGGAGAAAAAGAGAAGGTAAACTTTTCCAAAGAGAACTCCTTTTTCAGACACTCAATTCTCCATCTCTGGTGAAACAATTTATTACCGAAGCATAGAGGTGCCAAGAGTAGCAGGAAGGGTCTCCACTGAGGGGGCTGGCTCACCCCCTATCATGAGTTTAGGGGTCTTCTCTGTCTACAGCCCCAGTGTCTGGTGGGAGATGATGGCTGAAAGGACAGGACAGCCAAGCACAGGAATTCACATTATCTGGAGCCTAACTGCTGGGTTCCCTGATGCTAGGCAAGACCGAGTCACAGTGTTGCTTAAAGTAGCAGTAGGCGTGCACATTCGAGGGATCCTTCAGGAAGCGTATCTGATACTACAGCAGGCCTTGAGTCACATTTCTTTTTTCTTTTTTCTTTTTTTTCTATTTCAAACCTCGAGTCAAAAGTTCTGGAAGACAACAAAAATGGCTGTTAGTGTCCTAGTCATTCAAGGAGTACCCATGAAGTCCCTCCTGTGTGACAGGCTCTTTATAGAGACTGGCGATACTCCCATGAACAAGAACCTTTGCTGGGGTGATGATGCAGAAGCAGGGGTAGAGACACTACAAATTGAACACACGCTTCCTTCCAGAAGGGGACGGGGCTGTGTGGAAAACAGGTGATGTGATGAGAGGGGTTGGGGAGGTACTTCCCTGGGGTAGTCAGGGAAGGCTCAGGTCTGAAAGTCAATAATGAGAAGGAGCCAGTCATTCAAAGATGAAGGGGGAAAATGGGAATGGTAAGTGCAAAGGTCCTGAGGTGGGATCAAGCTTGGCCTGGTTTAGAATCTGAGGGGAGGACAGTGTGGCTGGCCCAGAGTGGACTGAGGCGGGCGAGGGGTGTAGGGGAGGTCAGACTCGCAGGCCAAGGCAAGGAGCTGCCATAAAGCTGAGATGGGGTGATCCTTCAGTTACTCCAAAGTCACCAGGTTCTTTGAATGGCACCTCCTTACTCAGTTCCTAACTGTGGCACAAACCTGCTCCTCAGGGGACCCACTCAGTTTCAGACCCCAAATTGGCAATGATCCTGAAAGGGGCTGTTAGTTGTTTTTTTCTTTTTCTTTTTTAAGATTCTATTTGTCAGAGAGAGAGAGAGAGAGAGATAGACAGCACTCGCTCGCACCCAAGTAGGGGGAGGGGCAGAGGGAGAAGCAGGCTCCTCGCTGAGCAGGGAGCTGGATACAAGGCTCTATCCCAGGATCCGGGCGGGGATCACAACCTGAGCCCAAGGCAGGCACTTAACCGACTGAGCCACCCAGCCACCCCTACATAAAATCTTTAAAAATAAAATAAAATTTCCATTGCACTGGGTGGACAGGAAGGCACCACGGGACAGGCCAGCGCCAATACGAGGATGGGTATATATGGGTGGCGTCTCTATGCGTCTGGTCAGCGAGCGGCAGGCGAGATTGCAGACATAAGCCAGACAGAGGAGACTATGACAAGTGACTGCGCCCCTGGGAGATCCCGGGAGGAGGCGGGAGGCAGAGACCTGGAGGAGATGGACTAGGGAGGCTGGCCACCGCCTGGAGGGACAGAGTGAGTGGGGGAGAGGTGTGGGGCAGGGTATGGGGCGGGGGGCTCCCCGACAGCTGTCTGCTGGGCTGGAGAGACAGGCAGCAGGCGAGGCGTGTGGGTGGACAGGGTCACACCTTCACTTTCGGACAGTCTCTGTGGTGGCCGCCGGCTACGTGTCTCGGGGCATTGAGTGGTGTCCCGGTCTCCACCCACCCGATGCTCGCAGCACCCTTTCCCCACTTGTGACAACCCCAAGGGTCTCCAGACACCCCCTCCCTGGAGCAACATGGCCTCCCTCTGAGAACCCCTGACTGAGACAGACACTGAACTCTGATTCCAGCCAGCCACGAAGACAGGAATCACAACGCCGTGGACAGCGGAGGGCACCGGGGAAGCTTCGCTTCAGAACACGTCCATGCAGCCTTGCCGGAACTAACTCGCGAGTGAACTTGGCTATGTCGTTTTGACCTCCCCCGATTTCTGTACATCCTCCCAGGGGCTAACGGGAGTGCAGACGGGTACATGGTTCCGACAGAGAGCAATCCAGTGCTTGCTTTCCAAGTAAGAACCCCCTGCACAGACACACGAGTGAGGCCTGTGCACTCAGGTGTTCAAGCTTGTAGAACAAACACCCTGGGTGTTTGCCAATGCCCAGCCACTGGGCATGAGTCGCCGCCTTCCAACCCACATGGGAATACGGTGCAACAAGGTCGTGGACCTTCTGTGTGGACAGGGGAGAGCCAGGTGTGGTGGGGGCACACAGCCAGCGAGGTTTGCCGTGGGGCCGGGGGATGGGGGTTTGAGAGCCAGCCCAAAGGAAAGTAGAGGCTACAGGGGGCTGGCGGGATGGACAGAGAGACAGAGGGATGAAGAAAGACGGAGAGAGCGATGGCATCTTGATTCTATCTTCCAAGCCCTGAATCTGGTCATGCCTAGAGCTCCCCCCTTAGAAGTTTCTTGTTACAAGAGCCAATGCATCCCCCTTTTCCTTAAAGCCAATTTGAGTCAGCCTGGAGCTACTTGCCATTCCCGAGGACTGGAAGGTTCGAGAACCCCACAGAAAAATCCAGCATCTACCTGGGAAGTTGGTCCTGGAGTAATGGCTTCCGGGAACTAGGGTTGGGGGCAGGAGGGGGGGTGGGGTTCAGATTCACAAACTCCTTCCACCAGAACCCACCTATGGAACCATCTGGAGGTCCACCGGGTCGTAGGCTGACGCCCGCAGATCCCGTAGCAAGTCTTCTAGACTGCTCCTCAGCATGTTGTAGGGCGGCTTCTCATCGTACCCGAGGGTCATCACCACCTTCATGTACTCCTGCAGGGTCTCTGCAGTCAAGACACCCCCCACCATGAGAGAGGCCTGAGAGGGGGCCTCCCCCGAAACCCAGAGCCTTGGGGGCTGTCCCCCGTCTCCACCATGGAATTGCCTGGAACTGAGGCCTGGAATTGCCTCAGGCACGTAGATTAAATTTTTTGTTTTTTTCTTTTTTTTGGTAAAACATCCAACATATGTAACAATAGAGCGGTATCATGAGCCCCAGTCTACCCATCGCCCAGTTTCAACAACTACCAGCTCACAGCCAATCTTGGTCATCAAAACCCCCGCCACTTCCTGTTCTGGTCTTGGGATAAAGCAAATCCCAGCTAATTATATCATTTTCCTACAACCATTTAGGGTGTCATCTCTAAAACAGGAGTTAGCAAGCTTGCACTGGAAATTGCCAGAGGATGACAGTTTTGGCTGTGTGTGTGTGTGTGTGTGTGTTTGGGTGGGGTCTGTGCAACCCCAAAACAGCCACAGACAACTTGTAAGCCGGTGGGCACGGCTGTGAGTGAGGAAGACAGGTCTGTTTGTGGACACAGAAGGCTTATGTTAAGACGAGTTTCATGTACCATGAAATGTTCTTCTGATTTTTTTTCCCCTCAGCTATTTATTTATTTTTTTAAGATTTTATTTATTATTTGAGAGAGAGCGAGAGCACACATGAGCAGTAGCAGGGGTGTAGAGGTGAGTGGGGGGAGGGGCAGAGGGAGAGGGAGAAGCTGACTCCCTACTGAGTGCGGAGGCCCCCCCCACCCCATGCCAGGGCTCGATCCCAGGACGCCGGGATCATGACCTGAGCTGAAGGTAGATGCTTAACCGACTGAGCTCCCAGGTGCCCCTTTCCTCAGCTATTTCGAAATGTAAAACAAATCGGGACACCTGGGTGGTTTAGTTGTTTAAGTGTCTGACTCTTGATTTCAGCTTGGGTCATGATTGCAGGGTCCTAGGATCGAGTCCCTCCTTGGGCTCCTTGCTCAGCGGGGAACCTGCTTCTCCCTCTGCCTGCTGCGCTCCCTGCTTGTGCATTCTCTCTCCCTCACTCTCTAATTAATAAATTAAATATTTAAAAAATAGTTTGTTTGTTTTTTTTTAAATGAGAGTTCTGTAAGACAAAACCAGGTGTACGTGTGTTTATCTGGGTTTGCTTCGTATGTAGAGGAGCCCAGCAGCAGCTTGGAGGAGTGCAGCCCTCCCATCTCTGTGTCATGTCCCTTTGTCAACGTCTGCTGCCGCCCCCAGCATGACGCAGAGCTACTTGGCCACCTGCTGAGTCTGGGTTGGCCTTGTGACTTGCTCGAATGTGGCAGACTGATGTTCTGGGACCCCCATGGTCTACAGCTTCCCCTCTTGTCCTCTTGGAAAGCTGACAGGGCTTCAAGAAGAAGCCCAGAGCTGAGGCCTCCCAGGCCTGCCGGCGACAAGTCACCTCCAATTGCCAGGCAGGAGAGAGGAGCGTGAACAAGCCGGCCCCGGTCGAGCCGCTGGATGGTGGCATCGGCATGCGTTCCCTTGCCCTGTGGGGCCCGGAGAAGAATCACCTGGCAGAACCTAGTCCGTACTGCTATCTCAGAGAAATTTTCTAGGGAAATGTAACATTGTGTGTGCGGTTGCATATGTGCCTCGTGTGCACAGAAGCATATTCAGAGATGCCTCTTTATTCTGCTGGGAAGATTCTGGTTTTACGAGAATGGGCATAGATGCATATGTGATTTGGAGAGGTAACACTGGGTTGGACACAAGTCACCTGTCCCCACCACAGCCCCCACCTCAGGACATACCTGAGGGACAGATCCAGCGACTGCACTGTCCCACGAGGCTCTCCGGGTTGTCAAGAAACCTGACAGGACAGAGGTGTATGCAAGAGGTCTTTTAGGGAATGGAGAGCAAACTTTCAAAGTAGAATGTCTAGCAGGGGTATGCAGAACCCTGTGATCTGTGGGAGTTATTCCGGGTAGCGGGGCCTGCCAACACCCCATCAGTGAGTGCTTTTAGGGAAAACACAGCCTCAGGCTCCTGTGAGGTTCTGGTTACAATGTTTTCATCGTGACCTCCACCACTCTCTACTTAACTTTGTCTTATGTGTTTAAAGATACCTTGTTTACTATATTGTTGATCTAGCCACACTGAACTCACAGTCAGCAGCACCAAAACCTAACATGTATTTTCCCTGTAAGGCTCATTCCAGTGTTCTTACATCTTAGGGAACCTCGACGGCTCTTCAGCATCAAGCGTGAGACCATTTTAAATGGCGAGATCACCAAGAAAAAGCACAAAAATCTGGAAAATGTGGCATTAAATGGACCACATAAAGGAGCCTTGTTTATAGTGTGAGATTCAAAGGAAGAAGGCAGAACGTCGCCTTTTTTGACCTCACCTGGGACTGTGTGCATCAGACAACTCAAAATTTTCTCTCCTCTGTGTGTGTCTGAGAATGATCTGGAAAGTACAGTGAGTATGGATTCTGTGGTCACAAATACCTTTTGGTGAACAGGCAAATTCACAAATACGGAGCCTCTGAATCATGAGGACTATCTTCCTCTTTATAAATGCACACACGTATTTGTGTACACACACACTCTCTCTCTCTCTCGGACCACTTGAGAAAGCCAGAAATTTACCCACTTCCTTTGTTCCATCCTTGCAGTCCCAGCTCACTGTATCCTCTCGGGCCTGGACCACAGGCCTAGCTCCCCACTATTTGCACAGTGCTGGCTGCTATCCTTGTCTCCCCCAACCCCAGCCCAGAAGTCTCCAAGCTCTACCCTCCTGCTCCCCAACCCCCTCTGACTCATCCCCTCTCTCTCCAGTTCAGTCCTCATCCTCTCTTCTGGGACCTCAGCCTCCTCCCCAGCTTTCTGGCCCAGTTTCTATGTTTCTACGCCTAGAACTGACTTTGCCCCCTCCTGCTCACAGCCCTCAGGGGACTCCCCAGTGCCCTAGCATGCAGGGCTGCCAGCCCCTCTGGCCTTGTCTCTCTGACTTCCTCTTCTGAGCTCATGCTCAGGCCACACCAAGCCCCTTCTGGTTCCCTAAGCACCCACCCACGTCTCTTGGCCTTGGCAGATCCTTCCCGAGTGCCTGGGCACTGTGTGCAGAGTCCACGGATGCCTTGATGCAACTGTCAAAGACACAGGAAGGATCAGGCAGGTCTGACCCTCATCTCTCCCAGCAGTCTCAGGATATGTGTGGCGAACTGCTGAGGGATGGCACCAAAGAGCTGTGCCCCTCGCATGTCATAGATTGCACAGCAACCCTACCACTGGCTGTCGGTGTCTGTGGGACCTCCCTGCCCAGCCTGCAGCCTTAAGAGCAGGGACCAACTCCCACCGGCACCTGGGCTTTCCCAGAAAGCCTTGGAGAATCAAAATGTCTCTCCTAATTCTTTTATTCATTCATTCCATCATGAACGAGACTGTATCAAAAAATGAATTAATGTCGAATACATGGAAAAAGGCCATGCACACCAGGAAGACACCCTAGAGAAGTTAGAGTTCCAGAAAATGTGCATGTGGCAACATCGCCCCCTCGTGGACCTTTGTGTTACTGCTTCAGGTCTTGGGACCGAGGCTTGGTGCGGAGTCCATGATGCGCCCATCACCACCATCCCCATCCCCTTGTGGAGGGCCTTGATGTCCCAAACACAACCCTCTGTGGTTGTGGTTGGGATCTGGGGCTCCGGGAATGAACTGTTACTCACACTCCAGTCATCTATGTTAAAGTTATTACTAGGACCTATCTTATTTACCCTGCACTAACTTGGTGAGTGTGGAGCCTCTTAGGGAAGCACTCACTGATGATCTCTGGTGAAGCAGAAGGTGGCAGAGTTGTGCAAAGTGGTATAGGGCTGTTCTTAAGAGTCAGAGGAAGTAGTGGAAGGGGGATTCAACCCAGTGGAGCCTCAATGGGTGACTTCACCCATGACAAGCGATGCCCTCCGCTGATTCACATCTGGGTCTCCAGCATTTCCCAGCACAGGGACTGGCACATAAATGCCCTCTGGAAACAGGTTCTGGATGAATGAGTAGTTCATTCATGTGCTGTCTTATCTGTGTAGAAATCTTGCCTCTCTTGTCCCTCTGGGAAAGCCCTCTGCTCTGACACCGGGTCAGGCATCTCAGTGGCCTGAAGCCAGCTAACCTGCCTCCCCTCTGCTCCTGTGATGCTCCTGGGGCTGCCTCTGCCCTCATGGGCAGTGCCTGCTTCCTGCCCAGGCGTCTCCTCCCAGCCTGGGAACTCCCCAAGGCCAGGGCCGCGTCTGCCTGACCCGTGTGTCCACACTGAAGCCTGGGCCTGTGAAGGAAGGCTCATGCATGCTTTCCTTGTTCATTCGTTCCGCAATTATTTCATGAGCACCCGTTGCATGCCAAGTGCTGTGGCGTGAGCAATACAGTGAGGGGGGAGCAGATGCGGTCCCTACCCACACAGAAATTTGGCTGAAGGTGGCACCGTGGAGGGGTCTCTATCTGCTGTCCACTGTCACTTCTCCCCTTTAAGGGCAGAACCTCCAGGGTCAGTAGCCGCAGGCTGGAAGTATGGCTTTGGGGTGGCCATGTGGTCAAGAGACGCATGTCATTGCCAGTCCTGTCTCTCAAAAGCAATGAGAGATGGTGCCTGCAGAGCTAGCCCCACGGGAGGACAGATGCACGTTGGAGAGGCCAAGGCTCTCCTCCTGAGAGGCAAGTAAACATCTACCTCGTCTGAGCCACTGTGTTTTGGGATCTCCTCGTAAGAGCAGCTCAGCTTTGTCCTTAATGTAAGCGTGTAAGGGGCAGTTCACAGGCTCCGGGCACACCGAGACCTTTAGCAGTTGGGCCCAACGCTCCTACTGCTGCTGTTACCAATTCTGTGACTCGTTTTCACCTGGCTTGGTTTAAAAATGTCGAGCTACTGGAAAACTAGAAAGGAAGTGCAAAAATAAATTCTGACAAAAATAGGGCAATGGGCTTCTGGTGGGTTCTGAGGCTGGCTTCTGGGGCAGCGGTTGCCCGTGGAAGCCTGGGAGCCCAGGACTTCTCTCTCTCTCTCTCTCTGTCGCTCCCTTTTTCTGGAGAGGTCAAGGGCATATCAGCGCCAAAGTGAGATATCCTCCTCACCTCACTGTCCTTCTGGAGGCGACTCACCTGTCACCACTGCCATGAGACCTGCCCGGGCCATTAAACCAAAAGGATTGGTGTGTGCCTGCGCCCTGACAGTCAGCCTGGGGGGTACCCAGGGCTCTGGCCCGTTGGTCCCAACTAGTCTGGCCTATGACAAGGTCTGTGTTTCACTCTTCATCTCTTTACTGTCTGTCACCTCCACTAGTATAGGAGCTCCCGAAGGGCAGGGATGTTTGTCTCAGTTATTCCTGTATATCCAGGGACTAGACCACGGTGTGGTGCATAATAAATGCTCAATAAGTATCTGTTGAGTGACGGAAGGCTGCATCCGAGCCACCAATCCATCTGTGATAAGCCTCCCACACAGCTTCATATTGAAAGAGCCTTCTCCGGAGTCAAATGGTCTGGCTCTGAGTCTAAGCACCTCTCCTTAGTAGCTGTGTAGCTGTGTGACCTGAGCTGATTCCCTAAGCATTCTGTGCCTCAGTCATAAGAGCATTTATCTCAGAGTTGTTCTGAGGATGACACAGAGCGCAGTGTCTGGCACAGACAAGCTGTCCTCCCATGGGTCATTACGAGCAGGACAGTGTGGCGGGGGGCAGATCCCTTCCTCTGACTGAGCACCACAAGCAGGAAAACTGATGCACTGGGAGTGAGTGAGCAGAAATCTGGACGATGAGTAGATTCAGGGCATGCGATAGTTCATGCCAATCTCATACCCACCCAACAGCAACATCACGGCTTTTTCAAGGATCCAGACACGTCCAAACAAACAAATTCAGCAGCAGTATTTGGAGGCAGTGAACTAGCAATGTAGCTAAAGTTAGAAAATACGGCACTAAGTGAAAGGAAGCAAGGAACAGGATGACATTTAGAGCTCAGTACCATTTATGCAAATTAAACACACCGATCATAGATTGTTCAAGGTCACAGACATGTCTGTAGTCATTGGAAATCAGAAGTCAGAAGCAGTAAACTGGATGCACGTGTGACAATGCAGTTAAAGTTGAAGCACAAGGTGCTGAGTGAAAAATGCCAGAAACAAGTGAGATTTGGAGCAGAACAGTATTTATGCAGGTCCAACACACATAGTGCTGCCCCCACCAGGCGAGTTAAGGATACAGATACACTTAAACACAAGTATCAGTAGAACATATATTAAGCATGTTTGAGTATGTGTCCATGCTTGAGAGAAGATGGTGGGGGGTTATAAAAGGGAAACAATAGAACAAGAGAGAGGCTCAGCATGAACTAGCGACACGGCACACAGAGAACTGAGAAGCACAAAGGACTCGATGTCCTCCCCTGGAGTTTTCCCTCCTCCCACCAGGCACACTTTCCCTGGATAATCCCATTCTTTCCCAGGTCATCTGCTGACAACTCCTGAGCTAGCAAGGAGGTCTGAGTCTCTAGACATTCCTGCACTTCAGACATGGATGGCCAAACATCTCCCAGATGGGCCCTCCTAGATGACTCCTGGGCAAATCTCAGCAGCCTCGCCAAGGCTATACCAGATTCTGGAGCCCAACCTCTGGACCCGCAGGGCTTCCCCTTATCCAGCGGTCCACTGTCCTTGGTGCTGAAGACCAAAGTGCCTGCGTGCCCTTCCCACCCAGCCCTGGTGACCACTGTCCTTGGTGCAGACTATTGCTCTGCCCCTGCATATTCTCCCGCTGTCCTTGGTGCTGAACATCTCTGCATTCAGCGACTCTTCCGCTGTCCCTGGTACTGAATGTCTAAACCAGAGCTAGGAGGATCTGGTGGTTTTATAAGCCGACGGCAGGGAGAGGAAGTGTGGACACGGGTGGCTGGTATTGTCGCATGCTGAAGCAGAGCCCAGGCCTAACTGCTTAGGCTGCCCACTTGTCTGTGAAGGAACGGATGAATCATGGTGTCCTGTGCACTGTGAGTGTTTTCTACAGGTCAGGCTCTGTGCTGAGTGCTGTGTACCTGACTCCCCTGAATCCTTCCACAAGTCCTGAGGTAGGTGCTAACAAGATCTCATCCCAGGGAGAACATAAGGCTTGTGGAAGTTATTAAGCTGCCCACCCAACACACTGCAGTGATGGGGTTGGTGTCTGACCCTGGCAGCGTGACTCTGGAGCCCATGCTCTTGTCCACTGCAATGGATGCTATTGGATATGCCCGAGTACTGTAGAGGCCTTGGTTCTGCTGGACGCTGCCTCCCCCTCCTTTTTGTTCCCTGCTGGGTTCTGAGCTTCTGCCCCACCTTCTGGGGTGCCGGGCCAGTGCTGCGTTCTGCTGACCCCCAGACTCACTTCTGTTTCAGCTTCATGATATCCTCGATGTTGGGAAGGCAGTCTGTCCATGGCAGGATACCGTAGAGCCATTTCAGCAAACAGTAGCCCAGGGTCTGGAGGTCGCTGCGGCGGGATGGCCCTGGGGAGGCAGGGCAAGAGGAGGCAAGCTCAGTCCGAATGCTCCACGTACTGACACCTCCACTCTCTTTCTCTGACTCAATGCACTCAACCACCCAAGCACACAGGTTCTCATCTGTTCATTCACTTTCTCATTTACCTGCTCTTGTGCCCTCATGAGTCTCTCAATTACTCTCATTCGCTCTGTCAGCTGTCCCTACATTCCTGCTTTTGCTAGCTTACTCCCTTGTCTACTTGTCTTTTATTCATGCACTCATCCATTCAATAGGTCCTCAGAGCTCTGTGCACCAGGCCCCATCCCACATTCTTAAATCCCAGGCAAGAGTTTGGTTGGCTTCCAACCCTTGACAGTTTAATGGAGACACCGTACGGTGTGGGATTACCTGAGCTAGGGTGGTAGCAGAAAAGGGCATGAGGGAGCCCAGAAGGATGGACACTGAACTCAGCCTCAATGGAGGAAGGTAATGGAGCCTGTGGGATTTTATTTTTTTTATGCTTCCTGAATAACATAATTTAGACAACAATGTGTGTAAGCATTAAACAAGCACTGAGAGTTGACTGTGCCAGACCTTCTGCCACTCAGTGCTGGAGGCAGAGGCACCACCCCTTTCCTGGGATGGGGGAGTCTGATGGGAGGACACAGGTAGACACGTGGATGTATACAACATCAAGGGATTTGGGAAGGAGAGGCTGAAAACTCCTCAAGGAGTTTTCTCCTCAAAGTACTCTCTTCTTACTTATTCTGTGCACTTTCCTTGGATAATCTCATTCCTCTCCCAGGGCTTCAGCTGACAACTCCTGAGATACTGCTGATATGTGGGTCTCCATCCAGACTTACTCCTGTGCTCCAGATATGGATAGTTAGTATCCATGCCTCCTTGACAACCTCTCCTGAATGACTCTTGGACAACTTTTATGTTCCCAGTCCCAGTTCCCAAGTGTTCAGCCACTTGCTGTCCTTGGTGCTGCCCTACAACTCACTAACACAGGCTGTCCGTGGTTCTGAATCCTTATTCTAGCTCCCTTAGTGGGATTCCTGTGTCTGGCCACCTGCTGTCTGCGGCTATGAAAACCTAGAGCCGGGGTGCCTGGGTAGCTCAGTTGGTTAAGTGTCTGCCTTCGGGTCAGGTCATGATCCTAGAGTCCCTGTTCAAGCCCCTTACCAGGCTCCCTGCTCAGTGGGGAGTCTGCTTCTCCCTCAGCCCCTCACACTGCTCTTGTGCACTCGTTTACTCTCTCTCTCTCTCAAATAAATAAATAAAATCTAAAAAAAAAAAAAAAAGAAAACCTACAGCTACCCTTGTATGAGAAGCATATCTCCATGGTCCTGAATCTCTGGACTCTTACCACATCCCTTGTGTAGGTCAAGGCTCATGAACTCAAGATCCCCCTCATGTGGGCTCCTGCTGCCTTCCATGTAGGCCACGTGTTTGCCACCGGGGGCATAGCGGAAGGTGAAGCCGTAGCCTGCCAGTGTCACCTGTGTGGACATGGGGAGAAGCCATACAGTTTGGAGGTTAGGAGCTTGGATTCTAGAGTCAGAGAGTTCAAACATGGGTGCAATTTGAAACAACTGAATGCCAAACAGTACAGAAGAGCATGAAGTGAAAAGAACCCAAACCAACCACCTCTAGCCCCCAACCCACCACTCAGAAGTAACCACTAATAGTCATTTCTTTTTTTTTAAAAGATTTTATTTATTTATTTGATAGAGAGAGAGAGAGCGAGCGAGCACAAGCCGGGGGAACAGCAGTGGGAGAGGGAGAAGCAGGCTCCACACGAGCAGGGAGCCCAAAGTGGGGCTTGATTCCAGGACTCTGAGCTGAAGGCAGACACTTAAATGACTGAGCCACCCAGGTGCCCTATTTTATTAAAAAAAAAAAAAAACTGACGGATTGATTAGGGAGGGAGAGAGTGGGGAGGGGCAGAGGGAGAGCGAAACTTGAGAAGACTCCTTGCTTAGCTCATGACCCTGAGATCATGACCTGAACCAAAACCAAGAGTCTGACGCTTAACTCACTGTGCCACCCAGGTGTCCCGCCCTTGCACTTTAATAGTGGTTCCAGGCATTAAAATTTGGAGCCAGATAGACCAAGTTTAGCCATGCCTGAAGTTAATGAAGTTCTGGATTTTTCCACTCAATGGGCAAATAATTTGCAACACCCCCTTATACATTTTTTTAAAGCCATGTTAAATTGGGTTTCTGTCATTTGCAACTCTAAAAGTAATTAAATTTACTTAAAAATGTTATCTAATCAGTACTCTACCAGGAATGTATATTTAAAGTTTTCTCACTTGACTACTACAATCAATGCTATCAGAAACATTTTGCACATATATCTTTGCACAGTCCTGTGAATATATGGATAGGACACATTCCTAAAAGATGAACCGTTGGATCAAAAAAACCCCATATGCATTTAAAATTTTGACTGCTATATCCAATGGCCTTCCAGAAAGGTTGGCCAATTCACACCTCCAACAGCATATAAAGAATTTCTGTTTCCTTACATCCTTATCAGCAATTCTTCATTCTTTTAAGTTTTATCCACCCCTAAAACAGGAAGTTTTAATTTTTCAATTTCTATGATTATGGACATTATTTAGGGAGGCTGAGCATCTTTTCACATGGTTAGCTAACCTGTGGGTTTCTTATTCTGTGAACTGCTTTTCCTAACCTTTGTCCATTTTCTACTAAGTCGTTTAACTCTTATTTATTCAAAGGAGCCCTTTGCATATGATGGATAGCAATCCTTTGTCTGTGGTAAGCATTGTGAGATACATGGAGGTTTTGTGGCAGATGAGATCCTGGGCCCAGAGAGCCCCTGGGGTGGAGGGGACCTGGCTATTACCTGGCTCAGGTCCTCTGGACTCACAAAGATGTTCTTAGCTGTCACATTTCCATGGACGTACTCATTCTCATGGAGGAACTCCAGGGCATCCAGCTGGGGGAAGAAAGCAAGCATCTCCATGATGACGAATGGGAAGAGGCTCTGAGGCAAAGCCCAGTGAAGGAACCTCCACAGATGGGCCTGGGGCCTGGAGGCGCTACTTGTGACTGGCAGGGGGAAGCGCGTTTAAACCTGATTCTGAGTGAAGCATTAGGAAGCCCGTTCCCGATGACATACCCAAGCATGTCTTCTAACTAGACTTTGGAAAAATCAGCATTAAAGGTAGTATCCGTTTTCCATCTACCTCTTCCGGCTATTCCTCTGTTGACTGTGAACTCAGGAGGGGAAGATGTTGGTTTCTTATTGCCACCCCACCCCCGGCCCCGCCAAAACTAAAAAAGCAAAACTCAATGGCCACTTACACCAAAGACTTCTCATTTCTCCCAAAGAGCAGAAATATGTTTATTTAAGCAATCTGTATTTCTTATCCCTAGCTCTGATTTCTTCGCTGAGATCTAGACTCATACACTGAGCTACCTGGGTGTTAGTTACATCCTGAATATATCCCGAAGCCCACCTTGACCCCAAGGCTTACCTGTCCACTAGGTTCTTGTTCTACAAACTCTCTGTCCCCAGAGCCCATCTCCTCAGGCATGTCCTTTCATGCCAACCTCACCTGGCCTCCTTATCACACCCTCCTGTCCATGGCCATGTGCCCCCAGGGTCTTTCTGTACCCACAGATGAGCCTGCCTTTCCTCTGCTCCCAATGCTCCCATGGCTCCCCAGTGCCCTTAGGACAGAGTCCTCAGCTTGGTGTTCTGTGTGATTGGTCACCATTGACCTCTCCATGCCATCCCTACCTTACCCTCTCTACCCAGACATATCAGCACAGAGACCTTCAGGACACACCTAACAGGTCACTCCCTGGCCACTCCCAGCTCTCCAGGAATTTAAATTGGGTCTTTATATCGCCTGTCACAGTACAGGGACATTTCTGTTCAGAGAACTTTCACAGCTTGTGAAACTGTTTAATATCATCCTCCCCCACTGGACATAAAAACCATACCCCTGTTACTCCCGGCCCCTGGGACAGTGTCTGACACCCAGCAGTGATCTGATAACTATTTAACGAAAGGATGGATGGGCGAGGGACTAAATCAGTGAACAAATGCCTTATGCTCCCTCTCCTATACACACCTTTGCCTAAGCTGTATCCTTGGCCTGGAATAGTCTCTCCGTGTAGCCCCTCCACTCCCACTCCACCCACCACCTTGCCATTTCCCACTCACGGCTTATAAACAGTCTCCACCAGGAAGCCCAGTGGAGTCCCTCATTTTGAGGCCGGGCCCCCTTCCTCCAACTCCCACATGGGAATGCTTATCTCTCTGGTTCTAATGGCCCAGTGTTCATTTGTTCTGGTCAAGTGCTAGTCCCCAGTGGCCAGCAGAGGGACGCACAGGTTGAATGTGTCAGTGAACAAGCCGGCAGATAATCTAGGACCCAGGTCTCCATCCCCTGGACGGGAGCCAGCAGCTGCAAGGCACCTACCAGCCGGCAGGCCATCTGGAATACAGACTTCACCGACAAGATGTGCTTCGGGTTGTCATCCAGGACCGACTGAAGGCTCCTCCCCAGCCTGGGAAACACCAGGAACCTGGAAGATAGAGGAGTATCCCAGGAAGAGGGAGAGAGGACAGGGCAGGGAGGGGACGCAGAACAGAGGCTGGACTCTGGCTGGGTGGCTATAAGGTCCCGGTCCCGGGCGAGAGCAAGGGTTCCTGATTGTTAGGGGATCAGCCTGGCTCAAATATGGGGAGAAGGAAGCCACGGACAGGCTCCAGGGGTCCGGGCACATGACACGGAGAAAAAGAAAGGGACCAGCAAGGTGGCTGGAGGTGGAGTGACTCACCTGTACCTGTCCTGGTGAATCCCAAAACCAACGCAGGTGGGGATGGCCAGGAGGGGGGTCGCGTTCAGCTTCTTCCACTTGTTCACTGTGGGAGGGGGGCGAGAGGTCAGAGCCCCCGTGGTCCTGGGGCCCATGGTCCCTTCTCAGGGCAGAAGCAAAGAGTGCCTGAGCCCAGTCCAGACTGCCAGAGTGCCTCTCCTGGTCAGAGATGCCGCCTCTATGGGCTGGTGACAATGGGGTGGTGAAAGAGTGTTCATTGCTGACCTCTGACTGTAACCTACATCTGCAGGGGACAGGGTGAGCCCAGCTGAACGCATATACGGATCTGGCGTGGAAGGGAGAAGGACAACAGAGTGACCTCTGAATTCACAGTGTCATTGGTAAGATCAGGAAATGTCTCAAGTGTCATGGCATCAACCAGTGGTCTGCCCATCTCCCAGGATCTCGGCTGGATGGTATAGAGCCAGTAGCGTGCTGGTAAAAGTTTAATGACTGGCCGTCCAGGGAAAGACAGCCCTGGCTGGTCGTGTTTGCCGATTTTTTGTGGTGTCAATGCTTCCCACCACGGCCCATTTCAGGCCATAGGTCTGAGATCACGGAATGTGGAGCTGGAAGAGACACCACACGCCATTCGTATGGCATTTTCACCAAGCAGGTACAGTGGACATGAGCAATGTGTTCCAGGTGGCCCACTGCCCGCTATGTACCTAGAAAAACGATTAGGAAGTGATGAGTTTTGAGGATCTGAATACTCATTACTGTTCTTAAATAATGTATTTGGTTGTAAGATGATGTAATTAATTTTAAATAATGACTATGCTTAGTAACTGCCTTGTGCTCCTGAAAATTGAACGCTTGGCTCAGAGCTGGTACAGCCAGCCTCAGCCCATGCTGTCTGTCCTCTGAGGCCTGCAAATGACTGGGCACATCTGGCCCTGTAATGTCATCCCCGCCCTTCCCACCCCTTCACGGGGAAGCTGCTGTTCTGACCAAGCTAGAAGCCCTAACTCTCTCCCCTTTGCCCATCTCCGGGCAAGATACCTTGCAGAGGCTTGGCGGCCCGCTGGAAGAAGTTCTGCTCGTTGAACAAGCGCCCATCCTTGGCATCCTAGTCAGGAATGGCGGGGGAGAAGGCATCATGGCAGAAGCTCTTAGACAAGGTTGTCACTAGCCATGCCTCACCCCAGGTTAACGCCAGCAACGACCACCACGACCCCCACATCAGAACTGAATTCCCCAGGGTGCTGCATGTGAACACATGATTTCCCATTGCCCAGATTCCTTTTATTTTATGATAGGATCCACAGGTTTCCCTAGGCCTGTGGCCTTCAGTTAAAAACTACATTTCCCAGCCTCCCTTGCAACAAGGAATGACCCTGTGACCAACTTCTAGCCTATAGAGATGTAAGCAGATGAGATGGGAGTGACTTTCAGGTTACACCCTCAAAGGGCTGGGCAGGCTCTCCCTTTCCTCTTCTGTTCCAGGTGGCTGGAATGCAGCGGAGATAGCAGGAGCTGGGGCAGCCATCTCAGCCCATGAAATGGAGGTTATACACGACTGGTACAGCTGGCCTCTTAAGAGCACGGGTTAAAGAGAGCTAGGTTCAAATCTCAGCACTGCCATTCATTCCTTCTTTGTACAAAACACCTATTATGTGCGGAGTATTCTACTGGCATTGAAGATACAGAAGTGGACAAAGCAACTTGTATGCTGGGTGCCCCTGGGCAAGTGATCAAGTCCCCATTTCCTCATCTGTTAAATGGGGGGAACAAAGGAACTACCTACCAGGCCTGCTCGTGAGACTCTTAGCCCAGGGCTGGGCACAGAACAGGCCCTCTCTCTTTATCTCTCTTTTTATTTATTTATTTATTTATTTTTAAAAAGATTTTATTTATTTATTTGACAGAGATCACAGGTAGGCAGAGAGGCAGGCAGAGAGAGAGGACGAAGCAGGCTCCCTGCTGAGCAGAGAGCCCGATGCGGGGCTCGATCCCAGGACCCTGAGATCATGACCTGAGCCGAAGGCAGAGGCTTTAACCCACTGAGCCACCAAGGCGCCCCTATCTCTCTTTTAAAAAAAATTATTATTATTATTATTTTTTTGGAACAGGCTCTCAGCAAGCAGGTGCCATTACTCATCTGTTAGCCTGGCTCTGGAGTCCACTCACACAGCCTCCATCTAGGGCCACAGGGTGGGCGGGGGAGGGGGGCACCAGGACTGGCTGCCCTGGTGTTTTAGGGGTGAGAAAATCTGCATAAACGAAGGTAAGAAAATGAAAGTCACCTATAAGTGCAGCTCTCAGGGGTAATGATGAGGCTGCTAACCAGGATGATATACTGTTATAGGCTCTTCCTCTCTGGGAGGGACGCCACTCACCTGCCTGGCTGCTCTCGTGTTCTTGGTTGGCTTTTCCTCTGGGCCCCCCTCAAGTGCATGTTTCCCATGTGCTGAGATTGTGTGTGATTTCATGGACTCCTCAGTGAAGGGACCCCATCTCATTGCTTGTCTGATGGGCCCCAACACCCAGCACAGGGATATATAGCGGTGCTCAAGAAATACAAGCTCTAAGACAGGCAGGTGGGTCACACAGTGTGGGTATTAGTGGCTCCCTCACCCAGATGAGGAAACTCAGCCCCAGGAGGGAAGAAGGCACCTGCCCAGACCGCCTTGTGCCAGAACTGGGGTGTGGGGCAGACCTCACGGCAGTTTCCGAGTCCCTGTGATAAAGAACATGAGGCTGGAGGGAGATGTGCCTGGTCTGAGGTCCCACAGCCGCCCGCAGGCCAAGACCGAGCTCTTCTGCCTGGGCCAGCCCTCTGAGGGGCCTGGAGGTCGGTGGTGCCCAAGCCGCAGGCCCTCCCCTCTTGGCTCTGCACCTTGGGGATACTTACGAGTTTAAGCGAGAACGTCTGCTTCTGACTTGACTTGCAGGCGAGGGTGGAGAGAGCTTCAGCTGTGGGTGGACAAAATGAACCAGGTTATCATCTAGAGGGAAGGTGAGTCATGGTCCTCAAGCTTCCCAGGAACAAGCAGCACTTCCGCTTCTCTGGTTCCCTGGGGATCAAGTGCACTCTTGGCTTTCAAGACCCCTTCCTTCCTATTTTCAAACAGGCTCTTTTTTTTCTTTGTTAATATTCAGCTACACAAAGAGGGTTATTGATGAGAAGGCCTGCCTGCTCTCCTTGGAAAGGCTTGCTTGCAAGGGTGACCCCTGACTGGTGTCTGGGAACCTGGGTTTGAGGAGGGTTCCAGCATTCTCTAACAATAAGAGGGGGGTCCTGTGCCCAAACTATCATGCTGAATAGCTGCTTTCCTTGTAAGAGTCTAGAATTTGGTACGTTCCAGGCAGAGTGCGCCTATGTAACGAGTTTCCAGTAAAAAACCTGGGTGCTGAGTCTTTCAGGAGCGTCCCTGGTAGATGACATTTCACACATGTTGTCACGCTTCCTTGTGCAACCTGTGTGACTCCACAGGGATTGGACTCTCAGAGGCCGATGCTGGTCTCCCCCGGACTTCATGTGTCTTTCTCCCCATTGCCTGTGCTCTGTGTCCTTCTGCTGTAATGAATCATGGGATGAGAACAGCTAAGGACTGAGGCTTGTGGATGGGTCCTCTTTGTGAACAAGTGAGCCTGGGGGGTGGTCCTAGAGACCCTCAACACACCAGCTATTTGGATTTGTTGACACGTATGGGGAAGTACAGATGCAGAAGCCCTGCGAGGAAGGACTTCTTGTCCCAGCCCTGTCCCCCCGGGGAGTGCTGTCCCAAGTAGCCTTCAGCATCTCGGGGGTCCCCAAAGCTGCAATCCTGGGGCGGCTCATATCCAACAGGTTTTCAAGGGGGATGTAAAGGCCCAGCTGTGTCGGGCCAACACAGAACGATGCTCAAAGACCACTTCTGCTCCAGAGTCCCCATGGGGACAGCTGAAGCTATGGCTGGGCTGCACCCGCCTCCCACCTCCTTCTTCCCCTCTTGCTCATAAACACCCTGCATGTTTGTGCCATTCTGTTTGGTTACAAACCCCGCGCTAAGAGTGGGTTTTAAAAGCTCATGGTTTCCCTTTAAGGTCTACTACGATGTTACTATTACTGCTCTTGCTGTCATCATTAGCGCCACCTGGTGGAGGAGACGAGAGCGGAGGGTCAGAGAGGCCAAAAGACAGAGGAGGCCACTGGGCCACCAACTCTCTGTATGACTTTGCCGGAGGCGTTAGACTTCTCTGGGCCTCCGTTGCCATGTCTGTGAAATAGGAATGACGAAGCCCGCCCCCGGGCTCTGAAGCAAGGGCTCCGACGGGCCATAGCTGAGCATCATAGCTAGTTTCCGCCTTCAAATGCACCACTTGGTGAACCCGCCTGGCCCCAGAGCCAAGCACCAAGCCGGGGTCACAGTGGGTGCCTGGTGTGTGGCAGTTTTTAAAATATCATAATTGGCCCAAGGACCCACAACCAGTAAGTGGAAGGGCTGGCCCTGCCTTGTCATCCAGAGCCCATGAACTAAAACAGCATAGTTCATCCCCGTGGCCCTCCGAGTCCTCCCTCCTCTCCTTCCATCCTCCCATCTTTCCTACCCCTTCACCATCCAGGTTTGTGTTGTTTAAGATGCTGAGCCAAGGGACAGGGAGGTGACAGTTACCCAGAGGTCACCCTTGTTCTTGAGAAGCTCCAGCTGGAGCAGGGTGGGAGCCCAGGGTTTGCAAATTCAGGGCCAAAGGTGACCTGAGCTGGTCCTTTAAGAAGGAAATGTGTGAGGGGCTGAGATCTCAGGGTGCAGAGGGGTCCGTCCCAGCTGCGGGAAGGGGGCTTGGGGAGATCGTCAGCGGGTGTCTGGAGTGGACTATGGCACCTCTCATGCATACTAACCGGGCTCCCAGAGTTCCCACGTGGGCAGGTGACAGGTACACGCCTGGCACTCAGAAGCAGGCAGGAAGAGCTGGCAACTTACATACATCTCTTGCACTTCTCTGCGGATTATGAAGGGCTTCTCTTGTCCACTCCTCTAATAGCCCGGGGAGCCAGCTGGGCCACTCGCATTATAGAGGGGGGCCGACAGAGGCCCAGGAGGGGCAATGTGCTTGGCCAACGGCTCCTGCAGAGCCTGGCTATCAACCCAGGGCTCCGGACTCTGGGACCTGGGGAGACCCCTGTCTGACGCAGACCTGATACATGGAAAGTCCCTATGTGCTCCCAAGGCTGACAAGGGCATAGCAGGCGAGCAGGTGGAGGCCCCCGACTACCAGAAGACTGGCGATGTTGAACCTGGAGCAAGAAAGCTGCTCTGAGATCCATCATGAGCAGCACAGTGACAAGAAGCACTTGCACTGTACTTGTTGCTTTCCTCTGCATTGGTCCACCTGCGCAGCTTTCCCAACAATGACTCTTATCCCATTCTGCAGGTGAGGAAACTGAGGCACAAGGTCAGGACATCACTTGAACCCGAACGAGGTTAGACAACTAGCTGCCAGCAGAGACAGGAGGACAGCCCACAAGGTCTGGCTGCGCTGTCCCACCTCCCAGCGAGGGGAGGGCTTGCTGGAGACTCTGGGCACCCCGCACCCCCACTCTCACTGCCAGGAACGCCAGCATCCTGATGCTTCCTGCTCCTGTTCTTGGGTTTCTAGCCTCTGAGTCTTTGCTTATGCCCCGCCTGAGCCTGGCATGCCCATCTCTGCCCCAACCTCTCTGTTGTGGGCCGTTTGAAAGGTGCTTAATAAAATCACAGTGCTGGGGTGCCTGGGGGGCTTAGGTCGTGGAGCGTCTGACTCTTGGTTTCAGCTCAGGTCATGATCTCAGGGTCATGGAGTCAAGCCCTACTCGGGCTCCATGCTCAGCGGGGGAGTGAGCTTGAAATTCCCTCTCCCCTTCTCCCTCTGTTCCTTCCCCTCTCATGCGCGTGCTCTAATAAATAAAAAAAAACCTTAAAAAATAAAATAAAATCACAGCGCTTCCATGTGACTGTTAAACTTATATGTCTGGGATGGCCTGACTCAGTGGGTCTCAATTTCCCCTGTGGGCAGCTGGCAGTGTCTGGAGATAGTTTTGGTTGTCACGGTGGGGGGAGGGGCTGGGTGCTACTGGCGTCCAGTGGTTTTTCTATTGGCATCTACTGGTTCTCCCGGATTGTTCTGGGGAGACAGGGAGGATGATGTCATAACCCAGGAGCTGATGAGGAAGAGAACGCCCCCTCACAGGGCTGCTTGAGTAAGGGAGTGAGATGAGCTGAGTGGTGGGATGAACCAAGGACGGGGGACAGAGTGGGCCAAGAGTGTCAGCAGCCGGGGCGCCTGGGTGGCTCGGTGGGTTAAGCCACTGCCTTCGGCTCAGGTTGTGATCTCAGGGTCCTGGGATCGAGCCCCGCATCAGGCTCTCTGCTCAGCAGGGAGTCTGCTTCCCTTCCTCTCTCTCTGCCTGTCTCTCTGCCTGCTTGTGATTTCTGTCTGTCAAATAAATAAATAAAATCTTAAAAAAAAAAAAGAGTGTCAGCAGCCATTAAAAAAAAATCACAATTCTGGCTGTTGTTTAATTGTTATTGGCTTTAACTACAGGACATAAAACTGCACCATTTCTTGACTGGTGCAAGCTCGCAGAGGAGAAAGGCGATGTGGCTGGTGGGTGACACAGCCCCAAACAGTGCAAACGTGCTCCACAGCCCTCACCAGCCCTGCTCCCCACCCGGACAGTAGCCCACGCCCAGATGGCACTTCCAAATCAAAGATTTCCCATCAAAATCCAGATTTCTGGCTTTTCCCGCAAACTTGGAAGATCTCTGGAGCCAGATCTCCGGCTGGTTATTGACATCTCTGGGATTCACATCCCTCCTCTAGGACACGGGGACAGTGACAGTGCTGGCGCCCGTGGTGAGTTAGGAAGTACAAAGCAAACATTCGTCCCCATGGGAATGTGTACTCAGACGCTCAGGGCAAGGGGAGTCATCACAGCCCAAAGCGGAAACAATCCACTTGTCCACCAGCCGACCGGTGAATGTAGACACTGACATACACACACCAAGAGAGTATTGCTCAGCTACAAGACAGAATGAAGTTCTCACACACACTATGATGTGGACCGACCTTGAAAACATCACGCTGTGGGGGAAGAAGACAGATGCAAAATCTGGAACGTCCACAACAGAGAAACCCGATGAGACAGAGGGAAGATGAGCAGATGCCCGAGGCTGGAAAGTGTGGGGTGGGTGGGGAGTGAGTGCTTTGGCACGGGGCTTCCTTTACGGCTAATAGAAACGTTCTGCAATGAGATACAGGTGATGGCTGCACAGCACTGTGAACGGACTATACCCCACTGAACTGCAGACTTTAAAATCATCAATTTCATGTTATGTGGCTTTTATCTCAATTGAAAAAATGACCAAACCTCCCACAGAGTGCTTAGAACACAGTGTGGCCGTGAATAAGCACTCGATAAACATCAGGTTGGTTAATACTAACACTCCCAGCACAGTTCTTTTTCTCTTCATTGTCACAAGGTGTCTGACTCCATTTTTTAAACTTTGACAACGCCAGTGTCTAAGCCGGGTCCTGCCTCTTCCTCTCTGGCCCCACATCTGGGCAGGCTGATAAGCAAGCCTGAGGACGGGGGCTCCCTCCTTTGCTGCCATGGGAGATGCAAATCACGGAGGCCCTGGCCCCAGGGCAGGAACCCTCACTCCTTAACTGAACAAAAACCCAGACCAGGTGCCCTTTCTTCCTCTTCTCAGGGAGGTGCAGACCCGCACTCCCCAGAAACCTCAATTATGCAAGCAAGTAGTCATGCATATCCTCCATCACCACTCAACATTCAAACTACATTTTTGCGGGGGGGCCCTGCCACCACTGCAGGATAGATAGAACATTTGTCATGATCCTTATCATTCACTGCCCTGGGCCTGTACTCCCCCGTGATGGAGGTGGAGGTGGGGCGTGCCTCTTTACACAGAGCACATGCTTTCCAGTTGGCCACAGTCCCCACCATTACCAACTGCTCACTCTCGGACTCCTGCACACATTTACTCGATCTGCCCAGCCCCTGTGGGTGGTGAGTTCTGCAGGCCCAAGTCTAAGAGAAAGTTGTACAGAGGCAGGTCTGCAGCTGGGAGATGGCTTCCATTTCCATTCCCAGAAAGGGGTTCCATTCCCCTTGCCCTGGTTCGAAGACACCCCGGTCCAGCCCAGCCCAGGGCCTGCCGGCCTGTGGACACTGTACCTTCATAGAGAATGCCCTGGTCATCCCTGGTCTGGAGGGGTCCCAGCTTCCAGTGCCGCCCACTCTTGTCTGTCACCACCGCCCCTGTGGGCAGAGCCTCAAGTGAGGTTGTCACCCGGCTCCGCTTCAGTGTCTGTGGGCTTCTCTTCGTCGCCTGTGGGCTTCGCTTGGTTGCCTGTGGGCTGCTTTTGGGGGTTGGGGGTCTGCTCCAGGACCCTGCGGGATGATGCTCAGATTAAAGAGAAAGCAGCATCTGGGAGAATGCAGTTGGATGGGTAATAGGACAATGCTTGCCACTCTGCTCATTTATTCACTTGCTCATTCAACAGATGCTTCCCGGGACCTTTCATGAGTCAGGACCTCGTGGGATAAAGCTGGAGACCCAGACAGGACTCAGACCTGGGCCCTGTCCCTTGGGAGCCCCTAATTTGGTGGGGGAGGCTGATCTGGACACAGCTGGTCAGAACTGAGTCCGAAACAGGGCCATAGAGAGGAATATGAGAAAGAGATTTTTGGTGCCTTGAGAAGTCAAGAGAGGCTTTCTGGAGGAGGGAACATTTGAGTTGGGTCTTGTTGGATGAGCAGAATTTTATGAAGAGGAAGAAAGACATTCCAGATACTCAACCAGAAACATCCCAAACCAGGCCCTGGCCTTGTGCTGAGTATAAAGAAGCTTCAGAAATTTGTTAGACCGAGACCCTGTCCTTGAGGGGCTCCCAGGCTGGCAAGAGAATGGGATGGCATGGTGGACACAAGAAAGGATACTGTCTAATGCATTCCTCCCACCCACCATCCACCCAAGGCATAGAATGGCAAGAGGCAGAGGGGCCCGGAAGATAACGGGATGGAAGCAAGGCACCGAGGGCTGAGACTTTAGATCCTAGGGCCACCTGGGAAGGAGATGGGCACATGGTCCTCAAGACTCCCACACTTGCTGGCGGGCACCAGGCTTATGCAGATGAATCTACCTGGTCCCTGCCCACACAGGACTCTCAGTCCAGCAAGTGAGGCAGAAGGATGAGGGCCCAGGCAGGGTAGGGGATGCCCGAGCAGGGGAATGAAGCCCAGAACTCTGTCCAACAACCCGCCTTTTCCCCATTGAGTCCAGCGGGATTGACCCCAACTCTTACCTTTGGATCTCACAGTATCTTCAGACCCGGAACTGTCACCATCTAAGCAGAGGGATGATGAGGGGGAGGTGACAGAGCTGGACCATCTCACTTTCTTAGAAGGGATCTCAGGACTGGAGTTGCTTTGTCTCCTTGAGCCTATAGAAAGGGAGACCAGACACAAACTGGGATGACAAAGCCTCTTCTAGGAACCCCTGAACCAGGAACTCTGAGGGCACATTCGAGTACTCTCTTCCCTTGGACCCCCAGAGCCAAGTATTGGTTCTCTTGTCACCTAAATATCTAAGCAAACTTCCCTTCATTTTAGTTATTTGCTTTTCCTCCTTGGGTCATGGTGTCTCTTGTGTGTCTTCTACTGCTTTGTCATTCTGCTTTCTTCTAGGCAATTTCTTTGAATCTATCTTCCAATTTGCTAATTCTCCCTTCAGCTGTGTCTGGTCGGCAGTTAAACCATCCAGCAAGTTTCTGGTCACCATGATGATGTCTGGTTCCTTTTCAAATTGTTTTGGTTCCTTTACAATTCTAACTAACTTCTGCTTCTTCACCATATTTTGAATTTCTTCTTTTATTTCTTTAACTATGTTAAGTGTGTTTCAGACATATTCTCATCTGTTAATTCTGAGGTCTCTGGTCATCATCAGTGTGATTCTGTGGTTTGTTGTTTGTCCTGACACTGGCGTCTTTTGTTTTCCTGGTGTCTTTTATTTTAAAGATTTTATTTATTCATTTGAAAGAGAGCAGGAGAGCCAGCAAAAGAACACAAGCGGCAGAGGGAGAGGGAGAAGAAGATTCCCCACTGAACTGAGAGCCTGGTGTGGGGCTCGATCCTAGGACCCTGGAATTGTGACCCGAGCTGAAGGCAGATGTCCAGTCAAATGAGCCACCCAGGTGTCTTTCCTGGTATCTTTTGATTGACTGGGAGCTCCTGGTCCTAAGAGAATTCTCTAAGTCAGAGGCAGTGGGAGAGAATCTTAAGCAGGCTCCACACCCAGCACAGAGCCTCATCCGGGCTCAGTCTCATGATCCCAAGATCATGACCTGAGCCAAAATCAAGAGTCAGATGCTTAACTGACTGAGCCACCTAGGTGCTCCTCTAAGGTCTGTCTTTTTTTTTTTTTTTTAAGATTTTATTTATTTATTTGACACAAAAGAGAGAGAGATCACAAGTAGGCAGAGAGGTAGGCAGAGAGAGAGAGGGAAGCAGGCTCCCCGCCAAGCAGAGAGCCTGATGCGGGGCTCGATCCCAGGACCCTGGGATCATGACCCAAACCGAAGGCAGAGGCTTAACCCACTGAGTCACCCAGGTGCCCCTAAGATCTGTCTTTAAAGGGGGTGTCCCCAAGAGAAGTTTTGCCTCTGTTGGAGAAGGGCACCCACCCCTCATTCCTTTACACTAACTTTCCCACTTGGGTTTTTCTGGGGGCTACACAGATCAGTACAAATTCTGGCCCCAAACTGGTGAGGATGTGAGTTCTTGGCTAGGAATTCTCAGGGAGGACATTCTTCTACCTTTCACCCACAGCCAAGGCTGAGGCAGACAAATGTCTTTACTAACTTTCTCTGTTCGGTGTTTTTCCAAACGTTTTGTTGTTGTTGTTCCAGTTTACCCACTGAGGAGTCCTGGATTTTACATTTTCCAGTCTTACCTCTTGCACTGCTCAGGCCCTAAACTTTGTCTCTTATACTCCATTAAAACCCAGGCTCGAAACCACCAGTGACCAGCAAACAGTCCAGGATCACCACGATCCACGGCATGTGCTCAGCCCTGTGTTTTGTTACTGTTTCTCACTCTCTCAGAATTCACTCACTGAGTGATAGGACCCACTTGGTCCTGCTTTTCAGCAGATACTTTTTATATTTTATCCAACATTTTGTGGCGTGTTGAACCATAAGGGGCTTTTGCCGATCATTTAGTCTGCCATATTACTAAAAACAGAAGTCTTTCAGTTGCCACTAACTTAACTAGCATGGCTGGTTCCCGGACTGCTGGAAGGACCTCCTAACTGGTCTCTTTTCTTTCTTTCTTCTTCTTTTTTTAATTTTTTATTTAATTTTTTATTTTTTTAAAGATTGTATTTATTTATTTGACAGAGATCACAAGTAGGCAGAGAGGCAAGCAGAGAGAGAGGAAGGGAAGCAGACTCTCCGCTGAGCAGAGAGCCCAATGTGGGGCTTGATCCCAGGACTCTGGGATCATGACCCGAGCCGAAGGCAGAGGCCTTAACCCACTGAACCACCCAGGCACCCCTCTTCTTCTTTTTTTTTTTAGAAAGAGAGAGCATGAGTGCTCATGAGTGGGAGGAGGGGCAGAGGGAGAGAGAATAGAATCTTAAGCAGGCTCCAAATCCAGTATGGAGCCTGACACAGGGCTCCATCTCAAGACCCTGAGATTGTGACCTGAGCCAAAATCAAGTGTCAAACACTTAACTGACTGAGCCACCCAGGCACCCCCACTTTCCACAGAGATCTTTTCAAAATGCAAATCATATTGTATCTCCCACTTGGTAGAAACCCTCCACAGCTCCCGACTACATCAATGATTACTAACCTCCTTACCCAAGGTCTACAGAGCCCTGCCTGTCTACCCCCAGTCAAGATGCCCGCCTTGGGGTCCCTGGGTGGCTCAGTGGGTTAAAGCCTCTGCCTTCGGCTCAGGTCATGGTTCCAGGGTCCTGGGATCAAGCCCCACGTCAGGCTCTCTGCTCAGTAGGGAGCCTGCTTCCTCCATTCTCTCTCTCTGCCTGCCTCTCTGCCTACTTGAGATCTCTGTCTGTCAAATAAATAAATAAAATCTTTAAAAAAAAAAAGATGCCCACCTCTATCTTTCCTACGTGCGTGGCTCCCCGCCACGTGGCCTTTCCCTTTACCGTGCCCCGGTGCGTGGAACTTTTGTGACTCCCTCAACTCGACCCCACTCTTCACTTAGCTAATTTTTATCACCCCTCGGTCTGGGTTCAAATGTGACCCACAAGGGAGTCTTTCCCAGATCCCCCCAAAAACAAAGTTCCTTTCAGTGGGTTCCATGATCCATCCATTTCCCTTGCGTTATCATATGCTCTCCTGGTAGTTGCTTATTCAATGTCTGTTTGCCTTACTGACTTTCAAAAGCTCTGAGAAACCAGACACCTGGTAAGTATTGTGTGTGTTACTACCTCTCTGGGACAGACAGCACCTAGGTACACAGGAGGCGGTCCAGGTGTATTTGATGCCTGGCGACTGAATAAATGAATAATGAACCGAGTCCTAGGTTGGCATTAGAGAAGGCCGTGGTTAAAACTCAGGCTCTGAGGGCGCCACTGGTTAAGCATCTGACTCTTGGCTTCAGCTCAGGTCATGATCTCAGGGTTGTGAGATCGAGCCCCAAGTCGGGCTCTGTGCTCAGAACAGAGTCTGCTTGAGATTCTCTCTCCCTCTGAACCTCTTGCTCATGCTTGCGCACTCTCTCTCTCTCACGCTCTCTGAAATAAATAAATCTTAAAAAACAAAAAACCAGAAGCAAAACCAAACCCTCAGACTCTGACCTCAGGTGAAGGTAAATACTGTCGGCAACTGTCTGGAATGCAGCCACGACACCGGAGATGAGAAGCCATCTTGAAAACTCAAGGCAATAAGCATGGGGGGAAAACCCTTCTGTTCAGAATGTCCTAACAGAAAGACGGGGAGCCTGGGTCCCTTATGGCATTGGGGGACCCCATTCCTCCACTGGACTGGTCCCCGCAGACTTTTTTAGTATGAAAAGTAAACCCATTCATTAAAAAAAACCAAAAAACCTCCTGAGGAAGCATTTTTCTGTTACTTGCAGTCAAATGCAATCTCAAATGATAAAATGAATGTCACATATGCCGACTTCCTTTTGTGGCCTTCAGACAAGCTCGCTCGCTTTGATTTCTCAAGGCAGGATCTGTGCTTGGGCTTGCCATTGGCCAGGACCTACTGCTGATATTTCATTCATTCAGTCCATCAATCTGTGAGATTTCTCAGCACCCAACTCTGCCAGGTCCTGAGAGGTAGGGGACGGACGGGGCAGGGTGGCGGCTCAGGAGGTGGCAGAAGTGGGGACCGATTTTGAAGGGAGAATGGCCAAGATTTGCCGGAGAGCTGAAGTCGCAGGGTGGGAGAGAAAGAGGACTGAAGGATGGTGACTGCAGGGTCTGGTCTGGGAAACCGGATTACATGGTTGCCATGTATACCGTGATGCAAAGTCTATGGAAGGGACAAATGGGTGGGTGAGAGTCCCATCAGGAGCTCAGCCCTGGGCATGTGTGGAGATGCGTATGGGACACACAACAGGTGCAGCGGGCGAATACATACACATATGAATTTGGATTTCAGGGGAGGAGTTCAGACTGGAGACAGGAATGTGTGAGTTGTCAACTTTAACGGGGCCGATCAGATGCCAAAAAACTGAGTGTAGACTGAGCCCAAGTCCCCAGGCAGCTCCGGGATCAGCGCAGCATCAAACAGGCTGCAAAGATGACTGTCCTCCCTCCCTAAATGCACGCACGCACGCATCATCCCTTGAAGGCCTGGTTCTTACCTCGGAAGGATGACGTACGCGGTCTGACAAAGTTCTGGGACCCTTCATACTCCGCTAAGGACAAAGGTTTTCCGCAGTAGGGGCAGAATTTGAATGAGGCTTCGATACTTTTGCCACAGTCTGGACAGAAGGTGAACATGCTAGAAAACAAGAAGTGGAGGGAGGGAACAGGAAGCTGAAGGCAAAAACCAAACCCACCACCAGTGAGTCGTCACCTGCGCTCCCTGTGGTTACCAGACTGGAAAAGGGAGGAAAGTTATCAGGTTGGAGCAGACTGTCTTAGGAAGTGGCCACTTTGGAAATGAATTCCTGGCACCTGGATCCAGGATCCAGCCTCCAGCCTCCAGCCTCCAGCCACTCCTCTCTCCTTTGTGGCCTGGGTTGGGGGGCTGGTGAAAAGTAGAAAAATGCAACACGGGCGTGCCTCTGAGTCAACGGATGTCATGCAGGAACTCTGCTCCAGGCGTGGGAGCATGGAGGGTTTTCTGCCATCATCTGTGATGTTCATTTCTTAGAACCCACGACAGGGATGGGAGAGAAGGTGAAAGCTGGCCAATCAGCCACACGCTCCCCTACACTTCCCGGACACAAAACCCCTGCCCCGCGCAGATTGGGGCCATGTGACTAGTTCTGGCCAATGGCGTGTGAGTGGAAGTCACTTCCCAGCTGAGGCTGTTAAAAGCTGAAGTGCCTTCTCTGTCCATCAGCTCCGGGGGGCATAGCTGCAAAATGGAGGAGGGTGGCCTGGTCCACACTGGAATCTCAGGATCAGCAAATAAACTTATGCCACATGAAGCCACCAGGGCTTTAGAGTTGGTTAGAGCTATGCAGCGGGTCTCATCCTGACATACTTAGTGAGACACGGGAGTTCATAGCACTGTCCCCCAGGCCTTGCGTGTCTCTGGAATATTCCCTAACACTTGTCAAAATCAAGACCAAAATCACACATAGAGCCCACTACAAAGGAGGACAGGGCAGGAGTATTCATTTGCTTGGGCTGCCCTCCCTAAACACTACTCCCTGGGTGGTTTCAAGGACAGGAATTAATTTTCTCAGAATTTTTGAGGCTAGAAGTCTGATATCAAGGTGTGAGAATGGGGTGCCTGGGGGGCTTGGTCTGTTACACGTCTGACTCTTGGTTTCCACTCAGGTCATGATCTCAGGTCCTAAGATTGAGTCCCACACCCCTGCTGAGAACAGGGCCTGGCCTACGGAAAGCCTTTTATGGTAGTGGATGTTATTACCGTATCACACCCTGTGTCCAACTTATATTTCAGTTGTTAATGTTTCCATTTTCTCCCTTCTCTGTCCATAAGTCCTGAGCCTCGCAGGCCTCCCCATTTCCTCTTGGTGCTGACTTATGGAATTCTAGTGCTTGCCCTTGAAAACCCCACGCCATCCAGACAGTGAACGAAAGAAATTTCAGCCAGAGCGGACAAGGGTTCCTCTTCCTGTTGGTCTGCAGAAAAGCAGAAACCATTTTTTTCCTGTGGGAAAGAGTTGCCCTTCCTTCATTTCACACAAACAAGTGGTGTACGACACCAGACACCACAGACTGTCGCCAAGTATCCTTTAGCCTCGACAAAACCTGTAATTCTGACTGGTTGTGTCACTTGATAATTTGTTGTCCTCATCATGACATTTAAAAGGACATCTCTACCTTCTCGAAGGTACAAATACTGATGAGTATTTTTGTTAAGCTGGAGAAGTCACCTCCACTTCCCCTTTCTCCCTTTAGGCCACAACAAACCTGAAGCCTTGGTGTTGATGTCAGAGCCACAAGATCAAGATTGCCTAGAGGGTGGCTACCCTAAGGAGCTGTTCCAGACTTTGTTTTTAGTGAGAAACTTGTATTTGGGTTAAGCCACTGAGATTTGAGGGCTGCTGCTACTGCAGCGTAGTCTAGCCTCAACTGACTAGCATAGTAGGACTTTACTAGGTTACTTAGGAAACCAGAAATATGAAAATCTGGGGATGCCTGGGTGGCTCAGTTGGTGAAGCGGCTGCCTTCGGCTCAGGTCATGATCGCGGGGTCTTGGGACTGAATCCCGGAACGGGCTTCCTGCTCAGCGGGGAGTCTGCTTCTCCTGCCCCCTCTGCCCCCACCCCTGCTCATGCTCTCTATAAAAATAAATAAAAATTTTTAAAAAATGAAAATCCATGGCATTTTTAAGTGGCTTTGCTTTATGTGGAATTTTCCCCAGTGCCAAGTGCCTTGGTTAAAGATGGCCTCTAGGGCGGGGCAAAAGTCTAACTCAGTGACCCTGCCATGCCCATGATAACCTTCCTCCTGGGAGTGAAGTCTGAGAGCAGCAACATGGAGAAGATGGAATAGGAGCAGGTGTTGATGGGGAAAAGGCCTTAAGGGGCATGTCCCTGAGGGGATGGTACCTTTAAGGGGTCACGGTCTGGCCCTCAGATTCACTGGGCTGACAACTCCATCTTAGCAGTATCCTGTAAATGAATGAAAGTGGAGAGGTTGACTCAGGTCCACTTCACATATAAGTGGAAGATAATGGATAGTGTTTATTGATCATTGGCAACATAGCCAGCATGTGCTAAGTTCATTCATTCATTCAGTAATCATTCACTGAACTCCTGATATGTGCTGACCACTGCGATACAGCAGCCAAGGCAACAAACAGGCTCCTGACTGGAGAAAGCTCACATTCTAGTGGCAAAAGGGGACATTAATAAACAAATGAGCAACAGTTTAATAGGTCAGATGAATTTAGTGCTATAGAAAACGCTCAAGAAATATGGATGGAAGAAGGGAGTCTCCAAGTGAAGTCACCAGTCGAAGATCACATGGCTAGGACTTAAACCCAAGGCTCCAACACTCAGGGGTCTTTATCATTCATTCACCCATTTATTTTATTTATTCAACAAATATTTACTGAACATCTCTATGTCAAGAATTACGTCCATCGGAGGACCTGGGTAGCTCAGTGGGTTAAGTCTCTGCCTTTGGCTCAGGTCATGATCTCAGGGTCCTGGGGTCGAGCCCCGCATCGGGCTCTCTCTCAGCAGGGAGCCTGCTTCCCCCTCTCTCTGCCTGCCTCTCTGCCTACTTGTGATCATCTCTGTGTCAAATAAATAAAATCTTAAAAAAAAAAAAAGAGAACTGCTTCTGTCCTGGCATGTTCTCAGCCACAGCACAGCAAAAGAGATAAAGGCTGAATTCCACCTCCCCGCAGGAGGGACAGGTGTCGAGATAACCCCCATTCGCCTAGGCCCCGCCCTCAAAAGAAACCAGGGATGACGTAGTGCCAAGGAGGGGCACCTGTCAAACTCCCCACTAGCTCCGCCCACCTCGGTCGTAGTCACGACCACCAAGAGCCAACAAGTGGCTTACAGGGGTCGCAAGGGCAGGCCAGTTATCCCGGCCACCAGAAGTTTCTTTCATCCAGACCCCTGCCCCCGGGGACTCTGTCTCCCACAAAAGATCGTGCAGACGGCATAGGCACCACTACTGGACTGCGGTCAGTGGATCGGGAGACCTCCCCCTGCTCCGCCTCACCTTCCCCTCACCTCTGGACTCCGTGACCGGGATAGGAAGCCAGACGGCTGCGGCCCAATTCTCCTACCCTTCCCAAAGAGTAGGACTCACCTTAGCTGTCCTACGCAAACTTCCGGATGGCGGAAAGCGCTGCGCGCGCATCCTCCACCCGGAGGGAGGACAGCGCCCGCGCAGGCGCTGCTGACAACCAGATGGCCCTCGGGCTGTGCCGGGGAGAGATTATTTCCTCATCGTTCACCCCCATTCCACCCTCTTTTGGAAGTTTCCTGGTACTATTGCGCATGTGCTAACCTGGAGCCAATCATAAGGAGGGATGAAGTATGAGGCATCTCTCCGCCTATCAGAGAAAGGCCATATTATCATTTTCCCGCCTCAACTCCGCCCCTTACGTCCAAGCGTCTTTTCAGGAACTGCCCTCTCAACGCGTTCCCATGGCAATCCTCGGTCGCCTTCAGGCCCGAGTGCGCTGATTAGGTGGTCCTTCAACAGTGTAAAAACTGAACTACAGGGTGCCTGGGTGGCTCAGTGGGTTAAGCCGCTGCCTTCGGCTCAGGTCATGATCTCAGGGTCCTAGGATCGAGTCCCGCATCGGGCTCTCTGCTCAACAGGGAGCCTGCTTCCCTTCCTCTCTCTCTGCCTGCCTCTCTGCCTACTTGTGATCTCTGTCTGTCAAATAAATAAATAAAATCTTAAAAAAACAAAAAAACAAAACTGAACTACAATACCCACAGGCCACCTAGCCCCGATTTCGTTTCTATTCTATTTCCCAGAGTGCTCAGCGGAACCTCTAAGGCCGAGAAGCGGGTGGAGATAGGAAGACCGGGGAAGGAGCTCGCACAGTCTTCTGGGAAACGGAGTCTTCGAGCTGGTGCGGAGTCTCCTCAGTGGAGTAGTTTGAGGAAATTCACGCGGCGCCGGAAGTGGTTATGAGGCGCGAGTGAGAGGAGTTGGGTTGGCGTCTCCCTCTGGGCGGGAGTCGCGTCTGTTAATCCGGCGGAGCAGTCTTCCAGGTGAGGAGACGCCGAGGCTGGTGTCGCTGAGTACTCCGGACGTTTGGGCGTTCGGTCCTTCCTGAAGGGTGACGGAACCCTCACGGGGCGATTTCGGCAAAGGGTGCGCCGTCTTGGACGGTAAGGTGTCTAGATAGGGTCTTGAAGGCTGTCGGTTCAGAGCCTGTTCTGGGTCGGGCTCTCGCTGAAACAGAGGAGCGGTTAAATTTTTATTTTACTTTTGATTGAGGAGTCTGAGGCCGAAGGAGGCGTTGAGTTGCCCAAAGTTGAAGCGAGGCATATCTCGAGGGACGAATGAATGGGAGTTCTTCAGGAGGTCGCCCTGCTTCACATTTGAGCGCGCCTGCTGCGTGCCAGGCGCCGCGCTGTTCTCGGATTTCCTCCTGGGAACTCTGCAACTGTGCCAAGAGCAGCTCCTCGCTTTTATCGGCTCCCTTGGAAGCGTCTCGGGAATCACAATTTTTCAGAGCTTAGAAAGTTAATAGGGTGCATATTTCATAGTTAGGCATACCCCAGAGGGATCTGGGACAATTCTTGGAAATTATTTCTGCTGGGAAAGCGTGTATCTTCACACTATGGGCAGCATGTGGCTATTCGGGTTCTGTTTTGCTGTCGGTTTATGAATAAAGTTCTGGTTTTCAGAACTCTTTTTGGTTTTTAGAATTACAGATAGGGCACTGTGGATTTTATAATTTGTCCCATTTTGTGCATGTGGTAACCAGACGCAGAGAGCATGAATGATCTAGATCTAGCCATGGCCCCACATTAAGAAGCAAGACTTCCCAACTCCAGGGCCCAAGATTTTTCAGTCCTGTAGTTGTTTGGCTCAAGTTATTCTGACAGGCTGGGTGACCTTGAGCTTCACAGTCAGGCTCCAGTTTCTTCTGTCCCAGGGCTTAGAGTGTATGAGATATGGACAGACGTGATGTGAAAACTGTAGACAGGTCTCAAACTCAGATGTCTCTGAGAGTCAGACAGATAAGTTAAAGGAGAGAATCCAACTGGAGGAGGACTGTGGGGGCATCAGGGAGCATGTGCCCCATCTAAGGGAGATAGCTTTAAATAGGTACCAACAGACAGCTAAGTGGGCCAAATCCTAGGAATTTTTGGAAACTGGAAATAGAATTTTTAAGCGAAATTTCCCAGTTTTCAAGTTTGAGACTACTTAATTTTCTTTCAAAACCTATCTGCCAACTCTGTGGGCAAAAAAAAACACATCTGTGGACCAAATTATACTTACAAGTTGAGACTTAACCTCCGTCATGTGAGGAAAACCACTGATGAGTAAATGTTAGCACTTACAAGTCTGCTACTTTGCCTTATCTGCAATCAAAATCTGGAAAGCCCTGGAGATCATTTTTTCCATAAATTTGGTATCTGCTGATTGGAACTGCTAAGAGTTACAACCTTTAATTATCCTACCTAGATTGAATATTTATACCCTTCATATGAAATAGCGATGTGTTCAATTACCAAATGCTGCCTATCCCACACTGCACTGTGAAATTTAATGAAATATATTGTATATATGGTATATCACCTTCTAAAAAAATCTGAACATTTCTGAACTTTGAAGCACATCTGGGCCCAGAGGCTTAAGACTTGTGGGCTCATCATTAAGTCCTGCTGCTTTGTGACTGGGGAGTGTTTTCATCACTCCACAGATACGTGCCAACTAGGAAGGTCACAGTGGCTACCGATGTGTAAAAAGCCCTATGCTACAGTATTTTGTATATTATGGGTCATGAAAATAGCTTGGCAGTGGCCATAATATATATATAATATTTATAATATATATTATATATTATATAATATTAATATATATATAATATATAATATATATTATATATATTTTTTTAAATGAAGTAAAATAGAAAAGATCCTGATATATTTTACTTTATAAGATTCAGTATTATTTTATGAAGCTTTTGTTCAGTTATGCGTGTGAATGAGTAGTAATGGTATATATTGTCTTTGTTCCTGTGGGTGGGTCATGGTTAAAAAAAAAAAAGTTGGAGAAATCTTGCTATTGTAGAATAGCAAGTTTTGGAGGCCAACTCATCTGGACTTATATCCTAGAGATGCTCATTAGAAATCCCAGAAGTGTCATCCCAGGGGTTCAATTAGACTTTGCGTTCTGTCAAAAAACACGTAGAAAGTATTTACTGTGCTGGGCCTGAGACACCATAGTGAGCGAGACAGGAGGTCCCATCACCTTAATCGAAGGTCCCACCACCATAATCGGCATCTCTCCCAAACATGCACCCGGACTCTAACAAGTGCCAAGGATGGTCACGAAGTGGCTTTGTAGGCTCTGAAGCACAGTGGAAATGGGGGGCTGGGGGAGTTTCAATAAGTACAAAATGATTGTTGTGATTCCTGCAGGGAGACTCACATTCTGCCTGGTCCTCCTACTTCCGGACATTTTGGGGCTCATCCAGCATGGCCAGGGAGTCAGCCCTCAGAGGAAGGGAGACTTTGCCCCAGTTCCCTTATGCCCCCTGCAGCCCTGCCAGTGGGGAACGTGGAGGAAAAGGAGAGGGAGCTTGAACGAGACCTCCAGCTGCTGGGCCCTAGTTGGCTGTGACTGAGGTGAGTTGAGGGCCCCTCCATCCTAATTGGTCATCCCCAGAGCCTGCACAGCTGGCCTGCCTTTATTCTAGGCTCATTTTCCTCTGGTGGCCCCCAAGTAATCCTCTTGTTATACTGTCACTCCCCTGTGGACTCCTTCCAGGAATCCTTGCTGCTTATAGGATGAAATCCATATTTCTCAGCACGATCCTGTGTGATCTGAGTCCCACCCCCTTACAGCATCTTCTCTGCTTCCCTGTGTAACCAGAACTCCCTTCTAAACTCCCTTCTCGGCCTGGTGATAAAACGTTCCACTGTACTTTCCAGATTCCCAGCCTCTGCTCTGGCTCCACCCTCTGTCAGAATACCCTGCCTGCCGTCACTGGCGAGTCTTCCACAGCCTCCACCTTCTCTGGGCGTCAGCTCTCCCCAGCTCTGCTCTGCTCTCCCGTAGCACCCCCTGCTGCCTCCCCCCAGCACAGGTCCACCTGGATGTGGTTGTCCCTTCCCCTGTCCAGCAGCCCCACCATACACGGTGCTCCTTGGGGACTGGTATGGATTGGGACTCACCTCTGGGCCCCCAGGGACCAGCACAGGCCTGGTACACGAGAGTTCTTGAGGTGTTGCTTGAACGATGAATGAAAACCTTCCTCTCCCTGGTAAATACCTGCTTATCCTTAACGGCCCAACTTGAATATCTCACCCGATCAGGAAGCTTTCCCTGACTCCAAGGCAATGTTCTCATACCCTTTCCCGGACACAGCCCTGGATACTACCCTCTGTCACAGCCCTGTCATCTCCTTATGCTCACTATCAGCATCCCTGAGTGTCCCCTCCAGGCCAGGTACCGGGTCTGACACCTCTATGCCTCCAGCCTTCTCAGAGGGTTCTGGCACACAAGAGAAATGACTGTTGAAGGAATGAATGCATGCTCTCACCTTGTCACTGTCCAGTATAAAACTCTTTGTGGTTCCCTAGTGCCCCATGGATCAAGGCCAGGGTCTTCCCACATCCTCCATCACCATTTCAGGGGTGCTGCTGTCCCTTGAGGTCGAGGAGTCCAGGAAAGGAAGCTACTTGGGACTCTCTAATCGGAGGCCTGCTGAGAAAATCTCTTTGGCTAATCCCTTCCAACAGGGTAGAGATACCAACAGTTTCAGCTACAAATAAGAGAACACTTGACTCAACCCAGTTTAAACAGCCAGCAGATTCTAGCGCGCATAACTGGAAAGGCCAGCGCGGGTGCTGGCTTGATCCGCCAGCTCATCTGGTGTGATCAGGACCCAGTTTATTGTTGCCATCTCTGAACCCCACTATCTGTTGTCTCCGTCCTTGTCCCGAAACAGGACTGCATGCTCCCACGTGCCTTCTCCGGGTGGGCTTTGTTCCAGGCGCTGTATCTACACACTAGGGAACTGGCGGATGTGGTCCCTGCCGTCCTGCAGCTCACATGTTATGGGGGGGTGTGGTGAGAGCAGGTCTGTTTGCGAGGGCTGCTGTAACAAACTGCCTTGAACAACAGAAATTTATTGTCTTAGTTCTGGAGGCTAGAAGTCTAAGTCAAGGTGTCAGCAGGGCTCCTTTGTTTTGGAGGCTGCGGGGAGAATCCCTTCCATGCCTCTTGCAGCTTCTAGAGGGGCCTGTGTTCCCTTGACTCGTGGTCACATCCCTCTGACCTCTGCTTCCGTCAT